TCTGTTCAGCTTTGTTCAGTAAAAATGCTCAGGAACACATATAATTTACTCGATAATCTATTCATGGCGAATGCAGTATTCACATTGATGCAAACATAATGAGTTGGTCAAGGAGTTTGTCAACTTTCTGGGTGAATGAATCTTCCATATCTCTTACGGCATCAGCCAAAGCCGCACGCAATCGAACTTCCAGACCCGGATCCTTCTGGATTAGGGTTTTAACCACGAATCCGAAAGTCTCACAATCTGCTTTAAGGGCCTAAAATTGACTTAATTCGATCTCTTCAACATAGATGTCATTTGAGGAGCAATTTTGCCTTGCGGTGGCCTACCGAGCAAAATTCTACACATGAACTCACAGCCCTGAAGGACAAAATTCTACACAACTTAAACCGATCCGCTGTTTTAAACCGATCCTGGCATGCTGCAGTTCTAAAAATTTGGCTGCTTGTGCTCCCTTATTTACCTTATTGCTTTGCACACATCAAGGTTCATGCATTGATGCATCTCAAGATCAGCACAGTTCAAAGACCATGTTTCGCTACGAACATAACTGAAGAAGCCAATTTGCAAATTAACAGGAAAACAACCTATGACATGCTTTATACACGCTTTCGAGATTTTTTTTCTACAAAATCGTGATTCCGAAAATGAATGGAACATAAAGTCATTTGAAAAAATCCAGTTCACTTACCGCATCAAATTGCTTCTTCTTAGAAACAAATTTACTCAACATTTCGGGTGGTAAGCTAGCCATTTTGCGATCGCGCTCTGTTTCGGCATTCATCTGGCGTGTGAATGTGCTCAAACGAAGACCTTAAATCAGTAATTTTAATTTTAGTTGCTATAAGGACAGAATTTTTCGGACTGAAAACTGGGACTTCTTCACAATTGAAACCATTCTAAAAACCATGTTTAAAAAAACGATATCAATAACAAACCGATGATTACTGACGTTCGGCTCAACTAAATTGCCCAAGTCAAAAACGTTGATTAATAACAAAATAATTGTACCGTAATCACTGATCAGCATTAAAACTTATAAAAATCTGACGTTGGAAAAACGAACCGGATGATGATTGCACCGGATCATCTGTATCGTCCAAAATGGAAAGCGCTGATACTTTGGCAGTCGTCTGTTGTTGTCCGCGAAGCGACTGGATCGTATTTGATTGCTGCGTACCTTTAAGGTCGTCATTAAGAGAAGAACTGTTAACTTGAGTGGATTGTTGCTGTGGTGCTGATGAGCGTTTAACACCACCACCAAGAAGTGAATCAATATCGGTGTTGGCCAACGAGCCCGACGAAACCGATCCAACTTTTGGTGCTTCGGCATTTTTGCCTCAAATAGTAATATTCTTAGAGAATATAGTTAATAAGTTACGGATGCGCAATGATATTAAACTCAATCTCTTAACCGCGATTCTTATCACAAAAACAGTTCCATTCTACCTCGGTTGAGGTGTATGAGCAAATCTCACAATTCAAATCAAACACTAGAATCTCCTACCTGAAAACAAAAAACTCGATGATTATAGTAACTCCACCTAATACAGTGAACAAATAACGAACCGACTATATCTTTGTTTATCTTCTTCACCATTCCCAATGTATCCACTACCAGTGATTCTGATGGCTTTGACGTGCGCGGTGGTGCCGGTGGCGGACTGATAAGCTACAAAAGGAGATAACTAATAGATGAATTCGTATGGAATACGAATTTCACACACGAGCTTCGTCTGATATCAAGATGATTTATTCACTGATACAACAAATTCATGCATTCGCGTAGAACTTATCTGAATGTATATCAAACTCGAGCGAAATGTTCAATAACAAAAAAGTGCGAATTCTAAGGCGCGCATCGCTTCCAACAACACTTATGCTGCCAGTCTCACGGATATAATGTTGAAATATCAGCTGGATACCTACCATATCGTCATATTCGTCCTTGACAGAAGCATTTCCAACTGGTCTTGTAGATGCATTCGTTGGGTTCGGTTTCTTCGTATTCAGTTGTGGCTGAGAATCTCGAACAACATGTTTGGGGATATCCTCCTGCAGTTGCCGTCATTATTCTTCGATTATATTAAACAACCATGAAAGTATCATAAATTATTTTGAAATACGCATGACTGATTACCGCGTAATACTTTCCCATCTATTTATTTTCAGTTGGAATCTCCATTCCCCCATTTTTAGATAAATTCTTCATCGTAAAAAATCTGCATGCTTGAAGTGGAAAAATAAAGACATTTGTCAAGAAAATTTGATCATTTGTTACCGAGGGTATGAGTGAATACGTGCAACAAATCTTTAAAACTCATTGGTTAACTTAAGTCGAGAAACTGAAAAGAGTAGAGAACACCTAATTAATGCTTCCCTCGATAACAATAAAAAATGAAACACCTACATTACTTTCGAGACCAAATTTGAGAGTGGTATTCTGAAGAAGAGATGAATCTGATCGCGATTGATTTTGCACTGGTGATTTTTCTTCCCATTTTCCTGTTTCTGTTTTCTCAACTGTTTTCTGAATGGCTGAAATTCATGAAAAAACGACATCAAAACATTCAAGACTCAAATAAATAATCTGAGTTTCAATAAATCGATCAGAAGCAACGGACTGAAGTATATTGTTTGCATTATGATAAGAAATGATTAAAAAAACAAGCAGACCTTCTCCGTTCTCCTCTCTTAACGCTTTTTCGCGTTTCTTCAAAATCTTCTTTCTGAGTTCACCTTCACTCAACTCACCACTCGAACGTCCACCATACGATCCACCTTCAGTTGCACTTGATGAAGAAGGTGAACGACGTTTGCGTTTCTTCTTATCTTTCTTCGACTTACGCGATTTTCGTTCCACAACAGGTGATGCGGACCGGCTCTGAAAAACACAAGCGTAGAAACCGAACGGTCAGTGACATAACGCAACGATAAAAATGATTTTACATTCACGTCGAATCTACACACATACATGTAATCATCGTTTGACAATCGCCAAGTTTGCTTTCGAGGGTAATCCAACGATGTATTTATCAGAGGAGCACAATCGATGAAGCGTTCAAGAAGAACGATCAATTGTTGCACGATACTAGGGAAAAACAAAGAAAATGATTGGCAATGTACATGATTAGATTGCTGTGACGAATGATCGTTAGAATGTGTTCGCTTTGTGGCTGCTGAAGTAGGTGGTGGAGGAGAAGGGGGCAATGGAGGTGTACTACCTTTCTCGATTATCTAGACAGTTTAACAAAATTAAGAGGAGTTAAACTGGAAGTTAATCGAATTCAACTTTCCCATGACAAGAAAGCAACCTACATCCTAATACTCACAATTAATTAAGGTCAATTTAATTAGTACCCGGACATTTTGCCTATTAGGCAAAATATGCATTAAAAACAGTCCGTTAGGCAATGTGTCTTAAGCAAAACATTTAGGCAAATTGTTCGGTTACGAACTGAATTTGTGTCATTTTCATTAAATCAGTTTAAAGTTTGAATCTATCTGTTGTCTCGCGACTAACGTTCTTCACAATTATTATCTTACTTTTGCAATCCTTCGCAATTTGTGCTAAACGATTTTCGTAAAACGTTCAGCACTGAAAACTTATAAACGTGTTCGACCCTAATGAATCGTAATTTAATGAAGTAAAAGAAACTGAGAATAAATGGAAATACAACAAAATAAGTGGATAAAAGTATAATACGAAATAAAAGTACTTAATCAATGGAACTATTATTCAACTATTTCAAATTATCAGTGACGAAACAACAAAACACTCAAAATAGAAGCGGTCCAAAAAAACCTCAACAATTCTCTTGGTGGGTGGCGATGCGTTGAGAGGTGATGATGATCGTTGACGTAGCGATTGAGACGGAGGTGTGGCAGACGGTGAACGAGAATGCGAGTGTGCATTTCGAGAGTCGCGTGAATCAACACTGCCTCGACGACTGTCAAAACTGCGCGAACGTTCGTGTGAAGAACGATCCGCAGACGGTGATACTGTTCGAGATGATCTGAACGCATCTCTAGATTATGCTACTGAAATAGTCGCCAAAATGACAATAAAATTACTCACTGAAACAGTAAATGTGCTTCAGTGAATGCCTATCATTGACTTTTATCAAATCATACCTACTGATGAGCAAATATATTGATAAAGATAAGATGTGATTAAGAATGAGAAAGGTATTTCGATGGTATACGTTTCAGACCGACTACGTGACCGCCTTGAATCAGATCGCCGATCACCCGAAATGGTACGCATTCTCTTGGAGCCTCGATCGTATTCGTCATCTCTGAAAATGGATAAATAGTAAATAACATAAGTTATAGACAACAACAAGTAAAATTAATAAAACAATAATACATAAATGAACTTATTTGACCGGTTGATCAACAAACCATTCATGACCATTATAATATTAGGAACATATGAATCAATGATATAATGCTCCATGATTTATGAAGCATTACCGTATCACGACCCTTACCTTTCGGTGTAAAACAAAATACATATTCGTTGAGTCATCCACAACCATTTAACTTGATAGAAAACACAAAAATTTGATGGCTATAAAGTGAAGAGTGGAATTCCCTCTGAATGTGAGGATATTTCATATCTCGCAGATGAATAACTAAAGTGGAACTGCATCGTTGAAGAAATCAAAAAATTTCGATCATTTCCAAAAATGATATTCCCGGCGTTGTTAATACCAATATATGTATTAAACACACGAATGATTAAATTGATATCGAACCAATAGAAAAATTAGCCAAAAATTTTTGTTTCCAAGTGAAATGCTGAAATATTTGAATTACAAATAACTGGTCTTTCAATGCTCGATAAACGTTTCTGAGAGCATCATGTACTGAACATGAACTAGATATATAAACACTTAACGCTATACACCAGACACTGAGCAGAGGAGAAAGGTTCGAACTGCGTTAAATCAAACATTTTTTGTTGCAGCCCACAAATAAAGAACACGACTGCTAAGGTCAATACCTGTAATCATTACGAGATGAGCGATCATAACTATTCCTTATATAGTGACCTCGACGTATAAACCCACCACGGCCGCGTGCAGCACTCACCGGACGTGTCACTGCACCTAAACGCGAACAGATGATATACGAAGAAACGTCAGAAGACTCGACATGAGTTTGTGTAATGACATTATTCTACATTATTCCCGTACGATAATGAAATGAGCAACTTCCCAAATAGCAGCATTTCAACAATTCACAAACGCTTATTGAATAAAGAACCTCCTTGACTTTGTTGATATGACATATAACGACGAATATCTCTGAACCAACTCAGATCGACTGGATATCCTAATACCTCGCCATCCTTATATCTAAAATTTATGTTCATTCGATCATTTCAAACAACGCTGAGATGTATAAATAAAATTTCAGCCACACTGACCAACCACCTATTTAATCTAAAACCGAGAGGCCTTCACGAAAATTTCAATAAGAACTTTCAAAACCAAAACGAATGCAGGAAAAACGAGATAGGTAGAGGGGATTCATTACAGAATATAGATGCGGTACAAACTTGTGCAAGCATTCTTTGGCAGCATCACGCGTTTCAAATCGAACGGCGACGAAAAGTTTGAGTTGGTCTGGAGAAGTCTTGACAAAGTCGAACGAACATGGCCCAACATGATCTTCGAAAAACTCTCTGCAACATTGAAATCCAATGGATCACTTCATAAGATCCTTAGCAAAACCATAATGAATAATAAAATGAGAAATGCAACGCAATAGCATAAACTATCATTCACGAAATGACAGCCTTCACCGTGTGATATAACTGAGATCGCGAAAACGATAATAAACTTAACCGTGATTGAAGACAAACAAGATTGCAGAATAGCCAAAAGTGAATGCATCGTATTATTCTAACTGATGCATCTCATTTATGACAGCATTTAAATATCAGATACACTCATTCATTGCAAACAAATAGCCATTGTCATTGAACATTAGAGCATCGACAAAATGACCGCTATCATTGACAAGAAGTGCATTTGTCTCATGTAACTGCTGTACATGACCAGAAGTCAATAACTATGAGCATGTGTACTCAGTGTCCTTTTTCAAAATATTCATCCATACTTATTAACCATTAATCATATTCTTTAGTTTACAATTATACATTAACAATTTTGTAAATGACCTGTAAACAAACATAACTATTCGATGATTACATGAATTATTTCACTTAAACACATCGATCAACTAATATTCGGATCTGATGGCAAAGATAAGAGGAATAACACCGGTAAATGTGTGGACAGAAGAAATGACCTGTCCACATTTGGGTGCTGAAAATACTGAAAACTAAACCGCAGTATCAAAGGCGCATCGAAACAACAAAAAAACTGACTGAAACGATCATTCTCGCGACATTATCAGTGATAATAATATTAGATTAAACGGTTTGAAACAAAACTTATACATGCGTTTGAAAATAAGTAAGAAGGATTTTATTTAAACGGAATAAAACCTACTTGACTTCATCGGTCTTTATATGACCTGGTAAACCACGAACAAATAGTGTATGTTTACTTTCGGGTACTTCCTCTTGATCAATACGCTCATAACGAGTGGTGCGGTGATAAGTCGGATAAACGTTCATTTCGTTATCTGCAAATATTAGTGGCTGTAGATTTGGTTCAGTCTTTGAATTAGTTAGTGTGTTGATAGCAGAAATAGAGCTTCAAGCCTAAGCGTAAAGAAAAGATGAGTTCGGCACCGGAATAAGCCTGCCTGAGTGTAAATCTGTAGTGAACTTTATTCCCAAAGGGATACTGGGTCCATGATAAATCTAAATCTGAACTGGCAGGGAACCTCATCGATTTGCTTTGATAAATGTTAACTTTGATAAATGCATCCACTAGAAGATTATAGAAACGGCATTACCACGACGTTTATTGCAAGTCTTCACTTCACTCCTTCTTCAATAATCGATTCCAACAAACGATTTTCCAAAAAGCACAGCAAGATATAACGACAGTTAATATCCGGATATATTCAAACCTAAATTCAATTATACTGATCAATACATGCACGTTGATGAATTCCACGAACACAATTACACCGTAACGAAGTAATTATCACACAGAAACCGCTTTTCTACACACATGTAACTGACCATAGCAACAGTAGAGTAGAAAGGGTGACCGACGACAAATCCGTCCGCGACTAATCTAAACGGGACGGTGACACCTCGCCAAGTACAAACGGAGTGACAGTTCGCCAAGTGGCGGAAGTGGGATTTTCATTTGATATATGTTCAGAAATGTGTATTTCTTACCTATTCAACGGAAACAAATCCGGGCAAATCATATATCGTTTTGTAGCGCACATCCAAGAGAACAAAACATAACTGATATACTTGCCAGTGATCGACAAATGCTCGAAGTTTCCGATTTCG